CCTTTATCGTGACCGCCGCCACCGGTCACAGACCAAATCTGTCAAGGACAGACAGCGAGCGCTTAAAGCGACTCGAACCCACCCCTCCAAGGGCGGGTGGACCGGAAGGCAGGCCCTCTAACCGACCGAGCCCCCGGGACAGGCAACGCTACTGCGTAAAGCGGAGACGAAGTCCGCTTGCATCTCGCAGGCCTATGCTACCTCCAAAAGTGTTTTGTCTCCTCCTCTGCGCTCCAGATGGAGTGACGGACCACTCCCCTCCCCCCCCCCCCCCCGCCTTCCCCATCCGATCCTACAACTGTGCTGTGCAAAAGTGCAGGGACAGTCCCTTATCTGTCTTGGATATAATGATAAGCAGATTCAATACGTGCCCCAATATACCAGGGCACGATAGAGCTTACCCAACAGTCCAGGTCAGCACATAAACGTCATTTGGCTTACATAAACTATGTGAACAACCAACTATGGCGTATCACAGCAGCCACTTAACCACGGGGCACGGGGCGAACCATAGCACGCCATTAACCGTGCCCTTGTGCTATGACGAAACACAAATTGTACCCGCTCGCCGAATTGTCCTCTTAAATGAGCTCGCTGAGATATCATTAGCCAGCCTTTCATAGAAGACCACTCGACAACCGCCCGTCTGATGTGAGCCGTCTCACGACCAGCCGGAGCGTTTTGTCCGTCGGTTCTGTCGGACCGTGTGAGGCAACTCCGTCAAGAACTGCGAGCCCTGCAGTCCGCCTGCGGCGCCGGCCGACGGCTCGTGGGAACGGCCACAAATAGGGAAGTGGTGTCCGCCGCCGCGCTATTACCGCCGCCCAGCCGCTCGCTCCGCGGCAAACACCAAGGCCGGCGCATTCCTGACAAGTCTAATGACGTCACTGGGGACTGTCAACTCGCGGCACGTCGTCTGATGACGTCACTCGGACTCTCGTCGAGGTGTGCCTCAGAGTCTGCGGGATTTTCCACACGAGGTTGGAGCTGTGTCTGCAGCTGTGACCGTCCTCCAGCTGTCGCAGACGATCACTCTCTGATCTCAGAGGTTCAGAGGCTCAGAGGCTCGGTGGAAGAGAGCTCTACCTAGGTGCTCCAGCTGTCGCAGACGACCACTCTCTGATCTCAAAGGCTCAGAGGCTCAGAGGCAGAGGGAGAGGCTCGGAGGGTCAGAGGCTCGGTGGCGGAGAACTCTACTCAGGCGCTCCAGCTGTCGCAGACGGCCGGTCTCTGATCTCAGAAGCTCAGGGGCTCAGAGGCTCAGAGGCAGAGGCAGAGGCAGAGGTTCAGAGGCTCAGAGGCTCGGTGACAGAGAGCTCACCCAGGCGCTCTGGGGCGAAGAGCTCTACCCAGGCGCTCGGTGGCGGAGAGCTCACTCAGGCGCGCTCGGCACCGGCCAGCACCGGTCTCTCGGACTCAGCACATCAGAGCAGAGCGTCAACAGTCGGCACGCAGCCGTCACGGGGGAGGGAGGGGCCTGTGCCGTGGCCGTGAGTAGTGCGGTGTGCACGGGCCGCCAACCCTGCGGGCACTCACGCTTCTTCCGTGACGGCTCGTCGCCCATGGCCAGGAACTGCTGCTGCGAGGCGGCCATCTCCATCCCGGTCATCAGGCCTTGTGTCGAGGCCGGCGATTGGTCGTAGTCGCTATAAAAGTCCTCCTGATTGGAGAGCGACGCGCCGGGCGACAGCTGGGCTTGGATAGAGGGGGCCAGGTTTGCCAGTTTAGACTGAAAATAGAACGAAAACGGACGGTCAGTATTTGCTCTAAAACAGAACAGAAACACATCCTTAGCAACGGTCTAACAATCCCCTTGAAAAGCCTCAATGTAGAAGAAACATTATGAGTTATTCTGCATCAATAATTTTCAATAAATCTGAACTTTAGATTTGATCTGAGCTTTAACACGAAAACAGATTTATGTAGATCTGATACAGATCTAGATTTAACACGGATTTAAATAGATCGGAGCTTTAACACGGGGAGGCCCGTGCCCGCATTGCGCCCACCCTCCCTCCGCATTGAGGATGGGCCTCCTCAACATCCCACCGCGATGTTGAAGAGGCCCATCCTCGGGCGGCAGCGAGCCCCGCGCCGGTGATTGGCAGCTTCATCAGCGGAGCGGGCGCTACCGGCCGTCCGGGAGTCCTCCCACTTCCCGCGGCGGCTGGGAACTGGACCAGCGGAGCCTCCCCCCCCCCCCCTCCCCACTTCCATGACCAGGGTGCGGGCCGGTAAACAGAGCCATCACCGGTGGCCGCCTGTTCGGCGCGATCGGCCGCCACATCCGGTTGTTGGTTGACACCTAAACAACGATATGGAAGCCCTTGTTTCGCCTAAAACGCTCCAAGTCGTTGCGACGACAAACCCCCGGTCACGCCAGGTCTGCGCATGACCTGGCAGCTCAGTGAGCTCACGTAGCTCACCACGTCAACGCTTTCAATACGAGGTATAGGCTGTCCGCGAACTTTAATCTCTGCAGGCATTCATGCGACGTGTGCGATCTTCAAACATCTAACCCCTGAAGTGGCGGAGGGTGATCCGCGGCTAAACCGGCGGCCGGTGATCCGCGGCTAAACCGACGGCCGGTGATCCGCGGCTAAGCCGACGGCCGGTGATCCGCACCTGAACCGTGCAGACGGTGGCAGGGCCCCACTGCTGTGACGGTCGTGATCACATGGGCCTGACTGTTGCAACCCGGCCTTTTGCCGGGCACCTTTCGCTGCGCAGTTAGCCGTATGCCTGCATTTACATCAGCAGCGAGGGGTGTGGGGAGTAGAAACGCGCCAACAAGTTGGCGCAACAAGCCTCTTTCAGAAACCAACATCTTTTGACAGGACTGACGTTGACTGCTTTGACAGGACTGACTGACATTGACAAGATCATGGTGGGTGGGCCGCAGTCCCTCACTCCATGTTTCTGCGTTTATCGCCCATGTAATGAGATATGTAAAATGAAGGGATGATAGATGAATGCCAGGTGTCATTCGCTGCCGCGAGGCACACTCCCGCTTTTGACCGATGTCCCTGCCGTGCTGCACCTGGGCCACACGTTTGAGTTTTCCCTTCCTCTCTGGATCTGAGACCTCTGAACTCCAGTACAGCGGCACGACGCTCCGCAGGGAGACCACGCACACCAGCGCCGTCCGCCGAGCGCCCAGCGCCACGTCTCAGCCGAGCCGCACTCTGGCGTCGATGGCGCACAAGAAGGCAACACCAAGCCGCGTCATGGAGACTTCAGCACAGCCCGGGGCCAATAGGATAACCAAGCAGGCGGACGGGTCAGATTCTGCCCGACGCCAATAGTTGTCATGCAATATGACAGGGTTGATGTTAAGCTTCCGTTAAAACAGTGGATGGGCGCCGCGGCTTCCTTCCGCCGCATTGCTCCGTGGAGACTTCCGCCGCTTGACTCACAGGAGACGGAGACGGCACAGGCGCCGCTTCTCAGGGGAGAGGGGGGGGGGTCGATATCGACCTGCGACGCAACACAAGAGACGAGCACCAGGCCGGGAGAGGCAGAGCCGGGCCCGGGCCGTCCCGCGGCGCCGAGCGGTGGTGCACCCAGTCCACCCTCTGCCCGGTAAACGGTCAGCAGGTACCCTCCGCCACCTCCAGCCCTGACCCTGTCCGACGGCAGCCGTCGCCGGACAGGTCATGGAGCGACCCCTGCCGACCCGGTCTGGCCGTCTCCGGGACAGCCGCCTGAGGCGCGCCACGCTCTCGGGCGGCGGCGCTGCCGGACTGTCCGGCAGGCAGCCCCCCCCCCCTTCCCTCAACAGAGGTGCAGCGCCGCTCCCACGCCCTCTGACCCCCGCGCGCGGGCGGCACGCGCCGACACGTGCCGGCTTAGACGGTAAGCGGCTTATCATGCCGGCCATTGGAGAGCGAAGAGGCCGCCGCACTGCCGCTTGTCAGCCGCACAGCGGTGCGTGTTGTGCGCGTGCAGGTAAGCCATCTGACTGCCAGCGTCCTGGGCCCTCGCCAACGTCATGCCTGGCTGCCAGTCGAGTGTCAGTGACACTTCATCACACCCGGAGGTAGAATGGAGGAGAGGAGTCGCATGTTCAACAAGCCTATCTTGGCTGCGTTGGCCAGCATGCGGGTGTGTATTTTGGCAAAGTGCAGATTGAGAGCACGTTGTTTCGAGGAGAAGCGCAATTCCAGCACAGGAAAGCTCGCACCCACCTGTGCGTTAGACACACAACTGTGCAATGTCGATAGATGCATCAAGCGGAATTTTCTGCGCACCCGCTGCGTAGCAGGCTGCGAAATTCATTTCAGATTACCACGCCATTGTCGCGGCATTTCCTGTGACGTCAGTCTTCCGATGTCAGCCCTGCCCCACGTGTGCGATGTGCTGTCTTCGGCACGGGCGCAGGCGCTCAGCCACGGCGCCGACCTCAGTCCCCGTTGCACTAACGGCGATTTCACCGGCGTCGACACGCGTGCTGCTCTTCTGAAGGTGCCTTCATGAATCACAGCTTTCTCCTCGTTCTCGTCATGAACCGAAGGCGATGCAGGTGGGAAAACCTTGTTGTAGGCCAAATCCTCTGTTAAATGTAAAAGATTTAAAATACAGGTGAAAATATAGTGAGGTCCGTACGTTACAAACGAGTATTTTGGAGCAGATGTTTGCCTGTTTCAATGGACATTCAAATATCTCGTAATATTTGAACATTTATTTAGTTTCTGAATCTTTTCGGAAGCCAGACATCGGGTAAAATTCTCAACTATCTCCAACTGGGATCCTTGCTTTCATCTGGATTATTAATCCATATTAATCTGGATTAATATGGATTAATTTTAATCCAACTGGGATCTCCAGCTTTAATCCGGACACTTCTGTCTGAAATGGCTGTGCCATCCCTGACGTTCGACCTGCGTGTAATGCCCATTCCAACGTAAGCTGCTGCTGTTGTAGAATATCCCCAGGGAGGCTGTGCGGCTCTGCGCGAATGTGCGGTTTCGCTGAAGTAGGCAACAGGCGCTGGTCGCACATGACGTGTACTGTCCACTGTGCAGGCAATGATCCAGAGCCAGGTGCTTCGAGGTAACGCCCGCTGCGGCCTGGTGACGCCGGACACTCCAGCCGATCCCGGAGCCTGGCGGCCTGACAAGGGCAGCGCCGCCGCCGCCGCCGCCAGCTGGCCTCGCCGGCCGGGGAGACTGCCGGCGGCGAGGCCAGGCGACGGCCGCCCGCCGTCACCAGACCGCTGGGAGACGGCCGTCACCAGACCGCTGGGAGGAGGAGATCACCAGACCGCTGGGAGACGGCCGTCACCAGACCGCTGGGAGGAGGAGATCGCCAGACCGCCGGGAGACGGTCGTCAACAGACCGCTGGGAGGAGGAGATCACCAGACCGCTGGGAGACGGCCGTCACCAGACCGCTGGGAGGAGGAGATCACCAGACCGCTGGGAGACGGCCGTCACCAGACCGCTGGGAGGAGGAGATCACCAGACCGCTGGGAGACGGCCGTCACCAGACCGCTGGGAGGAGGAGATCACCAGACCGCTGGGAGACGGCCGTCACCAGACCGCTTGGAGGAGGAGATCACCAGGCCGCTGGGAGGAGGAGATCACCAGGCCGCTGGGAGGAGAGATCACCAGACCGCTGGGAGGAGGAGATCACCAGGCCGCTGGGAGGAGGAGATCACCAGGCCGCTGGAGGAGAGATCACCAGGCCGCTGGAGGAGATATCACCAGACCGCTGGGAGGAGGAGATCACCAGACCGCCGGGAGACGGCCGTCACCAGACCGCTGGGGACGCCCCCCCCCCCCTCCCCGGCCCAGGACCGATCCAAACCCTTTGTCACCTGAGTGATGGGTACTGCGGGTTGTTTTGCCACACTCGATTTGGAACGGAGAGGATTTCAGTACACGTTTGACGCTCTCATGTGCGACTGAAAATTGTATTTAACCGCTCAAATCATTGCCTGAATATGCGTCACAACAACCTAAATCGTAAAATCACCGTTTATTTTCCCTTCATTCTGTAAATATTTTCACATAATGATAATGTTCACAGAAATCACAACATGTCAGGATATCTAATATAGCGTAGGTTCGCCCCAGGAAGTGGAAAGTGGGTGGTGGTGGTGGTGGTGGCCGGGGGGGGGGGGGGGGGCGCATGCCGATTTGAGAGACAATTGTTTTCGTGCCGTGATCACCCTGCCTCCCTCCCTCCTACTGTTCCTACATTATGAGAAATCATCTTGGTCTCTAGAGTCGCTATGGTAGAAAAACGCCGCCTATTTTCAGGCCGCAGGGCGGCAAGCATGCAGCGTTCAGCATGTGATGCCAATGTGACGCTCCCAGATAACACTGCAGTCCATTTTGGTCGGCCAGCCAGCCAGTCTGTTTTGCGGCACCCAGCCGAGCCAGTCTGTTTTGCGGCACCTAGAGTCATCCAACCGAGCTGCCTGCTTCACCACGCCCATCCAAGACGCGCTGACTGTTATCGGAGGGCTCTGGACGACGAGCTCGCCCCGCTCTGTCAAACCACTAGGGCCAGTGCTGATCAGGGCGCGCCGATCAGGGGCAGGGGATCAGGGACCGGGGGTTCAGGGGATCAGAGGACCAGGGATCAGGGGAACAGGGATCAAGGGATCGAGTCATTTCATCGGGCAACGGATGCAATGCATGTGGCTTTTTGCTTGCTTTACCACTCACTTACATTGTGGCATCGCAAAAGGAGCCAGTGGCTCATGCATGGTAATTGTGAAGAGGGACGCTCGAAAATTTAGCACTAAAATGTAGTGAAACGTAGCCTTCATGTAGCCAAAATGTGGCAGAATGTAGTATTAAAGAACTGTCGAGAAACGTTTGGTGCGAGTTCTTTTATGCTGTTAACAAAGTTTTCTAAATAGCATTAAATCACGTAGTTCGGGATGATTTCACTCCTCAGGATATGATGTCGTCGTACATACGTCTGGGCTTTGAACAAACGTGGAGCATTCTCCAGTGCTGGACAGGGGGTAAAGGGAGGAGGGGAGGGGGGGGGGCGTGGTCAGGTCATCTTTGACAACTAGGCTCAGTGCATGGAGCAGACCCGCTGCCGCTTCTTCATGAGTTCGGTGGCTGATCGTGACCGTCAGCCCCAGCATCTCGGACACGGATTTACGTTAAATCGCACAGCTTTCTAGACAACGAATTGTGACGCGCTGCTTGTCAGTGGGTGCCGCGTCATGGGGAGAGAGTGGGGGCGGCGCGTGATCGGCAGATGGGCGGTGGCCCAGGTCATGCTCGTGGCGGGGCGGGCGAAATGCACGTCAGAGGTAGCACACCGCGACTGGCGGCACCAGCTCGTACACCGCACTCCGTGCCTATGACGGTAACGCGGCAACCGGTAGCCAGAGATGCCTGTCGGCACCAGCTCGTACACCGCACTCCGTGCCTATGACGGTAACGCGGCAACCGGTAGCCAGAGATGCCTGTCGGCCCCAGCTCGTACAGCGCACTCCGTGCCTATGACGGTAACGCAGCAACGGGTAGCCAGAGATGCCTGTCGGCACCAGCTCGTACACGGCACTCCGTGCCTATGACGGTAACGCAGCAACGGGTAGCCAGAGATGCCTGTCGGCCCCAGCTCGTACAGCGCACTCCGTGCCTATGACGGTAACGCGGCAACCGGTAGCCAGAGATGCCTGTCGGCACCAGCTCGTACACCGCACTCCGTGCCTATGACGGTAACGCGGCAACGGGTAGCCAGAGATGCCTGTCGGCCCCAGCTCGTACACCGCACTCCGTGCCTAGGACGGTAACGCAGCAACGGGTAGCCAGAGATGCCTGTCGGCCCCAGCTCGTACAGCACACTCTGTACCTCTGACGCCAACACGGCAGCGAGCAGCCAGAGATGCCTGTGGGCCCCAGCTCGTACAGCACACTCTGTGCCTCTGACGGTAACACGGCAGCGGGCAGCCAGAGATGAAATGACCGGCGGCAGGGCAGCCGCGGCAGCCGGTCAGTAACTCCACAGGAGCGGGTGACCAAATGGACCATGTCGGTGGCCAACGCAATAAATTTGTAGGGCTAGAGTTGCGAAACTAATAAGTTTACCTCGCTCGTCGTAAGCGGGGATAATGAACGTTCAATTATAGCAGCCGGCCAGCCAAACACCATGAATCACCAAAGCGCTAATCGGTAACTTTCACGATAGGTGGGAGGAAACCAAGGCCAACCAATTGCCGCCGTTTCCATGTCGCGACACGAAGCGCCGTCTGAGAATGCTGCCGACGAACAAGCTCACATAAGCCAGCATACACACACAGTTTTGTTCGGGCAATGTGCCGACGCAACGGACAGGAGCAGTCAACCGCCTCACTTACTGCTTGGTAACCTCAAACGTCTGCACCGCCTCCAACTTCTCCGGAACGCCGAGCGAGCGAGCGGCAGTTCTCGCGTTGTGGTCGACAACACTCGAACCTGCGGTCCGGCGCAGCGCACGTGACTCGGCCAACCGCCACCTCTGCCGACGAGAGACGCGAGCGCCGTCGTCCTGCCCGGAGCGCACGGCGGCCACACCACACTGGCGGACAGGTGGGGCCGCCGCGCTGCCCGGCCCACCTGGCCGTCGAACCGCCCCCGGCGCCGCCCGAGGCGCCACCTCGGGCGGCGCACCTGCCGCCGGCACGCCGCTCGGCCGAGCCGCGGCGCGCGACGGCGGAGCGTGCCCGCCGAGCGACACGCTCATTGGCGGCCGTAGCGAAGCCGCTGCCCAGCGGCGCGCGCCGATTGGCTGAGCGCGCACGTGCGGCGGGGACTGGCACTTGCGGTTAGGAGAGCTCGGCCAAGACGGCGGGCGCGTGGCAGGGCGGCGCAGCGCGACCCCAGAAAGGAGGTGCCCCGTTGTTAATTGATGGGCATGGCGCACGCGCGCTCGGTCGGGTTCGTCGCCCCCCTGTAGCGCAGCTCGGGACAATGCATGCGATACGCTGGGCGGGTGAAAATAAAGAGCTGACCATGCCCGTCGAGACTACACAAGGGCCCTCCAATGCCGCCCGTTTTCGAGAGCTTTATTGCGATGAGTTAATTGGATTGATTTGTCGATGACTGTGTGGATCAATGGATGCCCGCGCCGAAATGACCGCGGAGGTTCAAAGCGGCCGCCGGACATGGTTCAAAGGATCGGCGTGGATTACATACTGATCGGAAAAGAGTCTCCTAGCACCACCATTGCCCTTTTAACCCCTGTCAGCGGCGGCCACTAACGGCTTAACGGCTGGTAACGGCTGACCTGCGTCACGGATTCGCACGCCGTCACTGCCCAATGTAGCAGTATTCGGCCACTTGGGTGGCAGGGATGCCGATATTGGAACAAGCCAGCGCGCCCCCGGCTCGTGGCTCACAGCCTGTGCTCCTCCCCTCGCTCAAGACCGGCCAATCAGCATCGAGCCGGACGGCGGCCGATCGGGCCCCGAGGCGCCGCGGACCTGGCAAAGTGGCCGGGCAGGTCAGATGCCAGGGCTCGGGGTCAAAGGTCAACGGATTAGCGGCCAACAGATGGCGTGCGGGTAGAGGCCGCCGGGGAACCAGCATTCTAGTGGCGTAAATGTATGAGTTAAGGCATCCCGCACACCAAACTGTTTAAAATCTGCCGCGAACGCCTTTGAATGATGGGCCTTCGAACGCGGCCTTCAAACGCACTCTGCACACAACTTTGTTTCATTTATTTCCACCGCATTCCTGGCCTTAGTCACTCGTATTGCGTGTACTTCTGTTTAAAGAACGGACGGAGGAGCAGCTTGCGCGGCGTCATCTCCGCCGCCCTGCCCACTCTCAGTATGTCCGCCAGTCCTAGGCAACAGGAGAAGGCTGGTTCGGGGGCATTCATACGTCACACATTCAGCATGGAATGACCAGCTTGTTTTTACAAAATTGTAGAGAAGAGATAGATTACAGTGGATGTAAACACACACACACACACACACACACACACATATATATATATAAATATATATATATATATATATATATATATATATATATATATATATATATATATGGATCAGAAAAACGGAACACTTTTGGGACAAAAGCCGTCGCTGACCACGCCATCCCAGAAAGCCACCTCCGGTTCAGCGGGTAATGTTTGCCTTAATGTTTTGTCGTTCATTGCAAAGCCCTGATATGGCAGCCCCGTGCCAGGCTAGCTGTCTGAGCCAGCTGCCATCTGAACTCAATGCAATCGCCATAAAGCGCGATCTCTGGTGATTAAAATCATGCATCTTCTGCATATTGGCCACCTGTGCATGCGCAGTTGACAAGCGTGCGGGGAGAAGAATGGAGGAAGAAAATAGAAAAAGAGAATCGTGAATAAACAAGTAGCTCGGTCGGTGGAGCCATTTTCAAAGGTGCAACCGAAGCTCGGACAGTGAACTACGGCAGCGGAGACTACATTAGAATCGTATTCGGCCGACTTGCCCACGGTCCGCCGTAAACAATAAGCGCCACCCATTCTACCAATCAATAATTCAAAAACAGAAAAGCCTGAGGTCGCAGAAGGCAATCACGAACGGAAGAAGCTTCCTGTTACCCATGTCGCTAATCTTTCATCCGACGATTGAATCGATGCCCTCATTTTGAAGCTGTTCTTCACACAACATGGTCGAGACAGTGAACACGGCTTACAAGATTTGCGCCTTACATGAACGCGTCCTGTCACGAAAACGTGGCTCCATATACCGTATTTCAGCATTGTTAACTTTCCTACGACGCAGTAACATCCATGGCGATCGGTCCCACAATATTTGCATCGCCTGCAACGGGATTGGCAATTTGTTATTACAATACCAAGCACATTTTCTTTTGCCTAAGTCAAGGAAAGACCGACGCGTCTCCAAAGCTTCGAACTACATTGGTCAAGCGCTGCAGAAAGAATGACATCTTTTAGGACTTACTAACGTGTCTTGTTCTTCGTTAGAGTAAGCCCGAGATGATATCCTCCATCCTGGAGGAATCTTCAGTTTTCCTCTTCTCTTCAGTTCTTCAGGTCTCAGAGTTCATGGGTGCGCGTCGCCACACACCATAGAAAGTTATCGTTGTCTGCACTGCAAACGTCTGCAGAGATATGGGCTTTCGTTCTGAATGCCTAAAAATGTGTAATCTTGAACTAAAAGGCAATAAACATTTTGGCGCAAACACTCGCTAAACTACCCAAAGTGCGCCGGCCACAAGTTATTTGCGTGGCATGAAACCCATTCATTGACTCATGCACAGCTACACAGGATGCGCGGTTAATTAACAACCAATACACCCGCACTGTGCCTATCACCCTTGTGAAATGATTCGTTGTCAATGAGTTTGATGCGTTCCACTACAAGCATGCCGATAAAGTAACATATGAGATGGCCAGATGCTTGTGAATAAAAACCAACGCACAGGTCATGAAAAATGGCATGTTTCAGCGGGCAATAAACGGCTGTTTGCTGCTTATGCATGCATCGGGAAAGACTCGGGTTCATATGAAAAATTATATGTACGTTATTACATATGAAATAAAAGTTCTGACTCTGACTCATTTCCCTTTATTAGATCATGCTCTGGAATGATACTGGAAATCTTGGAGCAGATCAGACTACCTGAAATGACATAATACCATACATATCTTCCATTCCGCAACATGTGCTTCCAAACGATTTTCGTCCCTTCGCCTCTGACGTTGACGCGTTTCAGTCGTGGCATTCTTTAGTTACCGTATTCAAATCCATTCCCCTCTTGAACCTTTCCACAATGCATTTCTACTGATCAGTTTGTTGCCGTTGTTGTCGTCCAGTCCTGTTTGACTGAAAGCATCGGTTTTAAATCCACTTGCACAATTGCCGGAGCGATAGTCCACAATGTACAGCTCGCCGCAGAGCATCCAACGCCGTGGCGATTATCGCAAAAAATAGAATTCTGCTTCACTGATGTGATCGTCATTTCAGTGGTATAGATAAGTTGGACCTTGTGATATATTTACAAATGAAAAAGACGGTGGGATGACTGCAAGGAAAATGACAAGCTGCCGTTTGCAGAGTAAGAGATGTGTGATATCAAGCATGGGTCGGCATCTTTTCCCACAGCAGAACTGATTAGTTACTTGTTTTTGTTTACCTACCTGATGCCGACAGATATTTTGATACGCAATTACGACTCAGATCTTGCAGTGCACTCTGATGCCTGAGTGAGCGGCTCGCGTGCTTCGCACGAAATATTTCTGATGAAGATAAGCCACGCATATGTCAGCTGATGAGTTTATCATGCTGTCTGCCTGATATCGCTATCAATTGGAGATATGCTACCGTGATATTTTTACTTTGGTGGCAGATTAGGCTTGCGGGCCTAAGCCGGCTCATTCATGAAAATTTCTTTGAGGCGTCTCAGCAGACTTCCAGGTCTTAACAAACATTTATTAGAACATATCAAGATTTTATAAAACATTAAGTTTATATTATCAAACCGGCACCTCTTTTATCAGCAATGTACTTACTGGATCCTAGAACACCGTGTACGCCCGCTAATTGTTGATGCGTGGCTCACTGTCAGTGCCGCCATCAAAAGTCACCGTGTACGCCCGCCAATGGTTGATGCGTGGCTCACTGTCAGTGCCGCCATCAAAAGCCCGATCCATGAAGACAGCCTGTCATAAAGGTCATGAAGCCCGCTCGACAAAATGCACTCCCTCATCCAAAACACTCACATTTCCCATCCCGGTTCGAGCCGATTCAGCCTTGATAAGACAGTAGTATTGGCGTTGTTCCTCGTGGAAAAAAAACAGGAGAATGGAGGTATAGTTGGGTTGATATTTCGGCAACATGCCTTTATCGAAACAATAGCAGAGGTGGCTTCATTCCTCTGTTTGCATCTCCATTCTCCTCTTTTTTATCCGAGGAATAAGGCTAATACTACTATCTTATCTATGTGCATAATGTTCCCCGCTAATGGACTGAACAACTTCCGTTTCGGCAGCGGTCAAATACGGCGCAGCGATGCCGCCACGTCGCTGGCTGCTCGAAGCGCGGCGCCTGGCGCGGGGCAGCGGGGCCAGAGGTCGGTGACTCGCCCCTTCACGTAACGGCACGCGTGACACGCGAGCTTCGGTCACGGACCGTGACCGTGCCTCGTCAGCCGTGACGTCAGAGGTCAGGGGTTCACGCCCAGGTGACGTCACATCAGAGGCTCCGCCCACTGCCCGCAGCCGCCGGTCTGCCCCGGCGCCACCCCAGAATTGGTCATATATATATATATATATATATATATATATATATATATATATATATATATATATATATATATATATATATATATATATATATATATATATATATATATATATGCGACTTGTCCAGCACCTTAACGTTAGTGGTCAGAATGATCGACTCCAGACCCTGGAGATTGTGCGCATTTGTTTGTTAACGTGTCCACAGCAAACAGCGTGTTATTCTTGCATGGAAACAGCATAGAAAACCTTTTCTGACTTTCATCGGCCAGGCGGCAGAAATCCTTTGTCCGGAGCACGGGCTACGATGCAAAAGGGAATACGCCCGCGGCTGTTATC